TTTCGAAAATTTTTCTTTCGGCAATTCGTTTTTTCGAGATTTTTGTTTTCGAAAAGCTGTTTTTTCGAGATGTCAGTTTTTCGAGTTTTTATTTTTTCGACATTTTATTTTTCGATATTATTCTGTTCGAGATTTTTCTTCGAGATGTTTTTTTTCGAGATTTAGTCAACATACCGTATAATCTACGTTTTTAGATTTCTCTATAAGAGTATGTATATTATATGAAGAGAGAGAAAAGAAATTCTGTTTTCATCTAGATGTAACATCTCATTACTCATTAAAAACAATGCCAACCTATTAATTTTAATATTGTAGTATGCAAAAACTAATACAATTCTGACTTAATCCTTTGTTATCAATAACGATTCTGTTTCCGTCGGATATTATTAATGTTTTCATTTCTCAAAGTTAGTAATCGAAAAAAAGATTGATTACTTGCACAAAATGCTATAAAACAACAGAGAATCAATCATGATGAAACAGTGACGAAGTCAAGTGGGACAGAATTTCATTTTTTAAAATTGCAACATTGATATCTCTTAAATAATAGATGCAGATCCTCTGAAATTTTAATCATAAATAGAGACCATTTTGATCTCATATCAGTAAAAATTTTATTTGCTTCTATTTAACCAGGGTTATCACATATCAAGTCATTTCTTAACAACGATCTAACTGCATTAGATGAAAAAGTGAAAATTACATTTTGGAGTAGAATAAAAGCATTAAAGGTCACATGCAACCAGATGTTCTTCATCAACGTCAGATTCTACGTCAAATGATAAAGTTTTCAATAGAATCCAACGAACAGAAATTTTTGAGAAAGATCGAAGTTAAAGTTCTATTCACAATTTGATGCTAGTTCCAAATAGATTGAAAAAATATGTATTTTTATGAACAAAAACAACGCAAAACATCTTTATATCTAAAAATATCACGATTTTCTGATACTAATTAAATTCTGTAACGTGATATTTTTAGAAAACAGATGTAAATATTAAATTAAACAGTCATCAAAATGTGTATATTTGATAGAGCTCGTTACATCCTCTGTGAAGATGTTGTTTTTCTTCCAAAAACTATCAATATAAGCGAGTTTTCTTACAAACTTTCATGAAGAAACAGATGGTATATAAAAGCATTATCTTGGTTCGTTGACATCTAACATCTGTATGAAGACCATATTTTGAGAAAATATTTCTTATTCTATTGATTGGTATTTCATTCAAGAATGATTTCATATTAATTCATGTCTATTTAAAGATATATTTCACTACAATCTTGTTGCAGAGACTTTTGAACAAGTTTGATTCTAAATTCGCTTGTTACTCATAGTCTAGCTTGTTTGTTGACAAGGACGCTCACTTTTCTTTCATCTTTCTTTCTCAATCGTTTTACTAGTATACACTAGAAAAACGATTGAGAAAGAATGATGAAACAAAAGAGACTGCTCTTAGCAATAACAAAAAATTAATCATAGTCCATTTCTGATGCATGCTTGTGACCAATAAGAGAATTCGAAATAAGGTTCATTGGTAACTCTACAAGAGGTTTCGTATGTGTAAAACATTCAATGGTATTCAAGAAAAGCGACGCTCTCATTTCATATACTATCGACTGTACTATTCTCAGAAGCACATCCATCTTGTTTTTTGTTTTTTTTAGTTCAAACCCTTTTCAGTGTAGGAGATTAATGGTTGGTCATGCCAACAAGTATATTTGTTTATCAGTTAATTTTATTCCATAAAAATTCGTTCATGTTCCTCTATTTATAAGAATTATCAAAAGAATTGTATAAGAATAATAAAAGAAAAAACTTGTTCATGTCAATCGAATTTCTCTCTTTTATTGCTATAGTTATTATTCAATTATCCATATAATCTTGCAGATATAGAAAAACAAAAACAAAAACAAAAGAACCATACTCTAGATATAATCATTAAATGGACGTATAAGGCCATGCTTTTCAGTATACTTTGTGTATATCGTATGATTGGAACTCATTATAATGCAATGAAAAATGACATCCGACAACAACCAGAAGATCATACCAGATGTTTGTTGATTTATCAGTATTTATTAGCCTTTGCAGAAAACCGATGAATTGGTATTAAATAAATAGTTATTAACATTATTGTTCTCTAGAAGTCTATTGAGTTGTTGCTTATCATTCATAAATATGTGATGTGCGTGTCAGAGATTATACTATATCCCATGTCTCATCAATCTACTCTCATGATACTATCCATAGAACCATTGATAGAACATGATCATAAACTTTTTCTGTCTTTCAGAGAGATCAAATTTAAAAAAATTGTCTTGTATTTATACTTAATAAAATTTGATATCTATAGAGAGAGTCAATATTCATGTTATTATTAGTAAGCAAATCATCTAGTGGCAGATAGCATCTTTTTTTTGTTTTTCTTTGCTTAGTTTTTGCTTGAATCGATGATGAATGAATATTCCTTTGAGGTTTCTTCTTCTTTTTCTTTTTTTTTTTCTATTCATAGAGAAATCATTTTCTTCATCTATGTTGACACAAATGCGGAAATATAGTAATACTTATCGTACATATTAATGTTTCTATATTTTCTAAAAACCCAATTTAGCTTTAACGAATAGTTCGAAGACAGTCGTTTCTTTAGATCTATGAGAATTAATTTTGGGCTACGAAATATTTTAAGCTACTTTACTGGTGATTATATACAGAAAACTTCGATGAATTTTTGGTAAGAAATTTAAGCAAAGTTCACAGAATGGAAGTAACATTAAGGGTAGAATATCCTACTAATATCATTAGACATTCAATAAAATCCCTGTTTGTTTAGTATTAGTCTACAACGTAGAAGTTTGTTGGAAATATAATGCCAAGTTCAAGTCACATTTGTTACAAAGAACGTTTAACTCAGTTTCATTTCATATAAGACCGACTATTGTTTCAGTACAAAAATCAAATAAAAAAAAAAGTTGTTTGGCATATTTTTCTACGTGAGCCATTCTCTCTCATACATTATTCTATAGAACAAAGCAAAAACTATAAAACGATATATAATTCACACGACTCAAGCCTGTTTCAAGATAGATAAAATATGCAGGTAGTATTCGAGAGTACGAAAAGACCCCCCCGGTTTTACTCGATTCTGAGCGTATTCCATGTGAGTAAGTAGGCTTTTGATAAAAACAAATTAAAAATTAAAAATCAGCATAAAAAGCTTAATCATCCTATGTACTTTTTTAAAGTCTTTCAAGTACTTTTATTTTTGTTTACAAGTGCAGCTGTGATCCCCTCTGAGATGAACGAGAAAAACAATTAACTAATTGATAAAGGCAGTTTTTTAATCAATTTCTGTTTTTCATTCATTTCTGGGGGAACCTCAGTTAAATTTTTAAACGAAAATAAAAGTCCTCGAAAGTATTTGAAAAGTGCGTCGATCCACTCAGCTTTTCACGCTGATTTCAAATTTTTTATTTGTTTTTACTAAAAGTTTACTTAATCTATGGAATATGCTCGGAGCTGAGTAAAAAGAATTGCTGTTATCATATCTTCGAACATTGCATGTATACTTTACGTATCATGGACTACGCCTGAATTGTATGAATTATATGTCATTTTGTGTAGCTTGCATAAAAAAATAGTGTCAAAACGATTCTAATTATTGTTTTTTTTTCGCATAAATGTTAAGTCTATAGAATGAAGATTAAGCATCGATTTGAAGGACCTGTAATTGACACTACTATGTATCATAGTTCTGGAAGGTTATAGTGCATAAGATGAGTAATATTCATATCGTTTTTTTTTCAAGTCCTACACTACATTTTCTTTTCATCATAGAACATACATTCACCAACTTTCTCTTTTTGTAATGATAAAATTAGTTTTATTGTATTGTTTTATTCCGATAAGATTTCCGCAAACTTCCTTTTTTCGTTGTACTTCCTTTTAAATAGTAGATTTAATGTGATGACAAAAGTTCAACAACAAAATGTTTTCTTCTATAATATTCAGCAATTAGCTCAAATTCCGACAGTGCTTTTAACAACTTATGGAGTTTTCTATCTCATGCATTCTACAATATATGAACTAGGATGGCAAAGTTTCTAAAAAGCTCGACTTGATAGTTTTCAGCTCTTAAAAGACTTTACCCGAGATATTTGTTAACAATATCGTTTTAAAACACATAAAATGAGGAGTCGCCGCATTTTCTACGATCTTCTCTAAAAGAAAGTTACAAATATCACAAAAACCTTGAAACAAATGAAATTTAACGAACAACGTTTTCTTTTTGTTTTTTATGATGCGTGTAGCCTTTTAAGAGAAGATCGTAGAATATACGGCAACTCCTCATTTTATATGCTTTAAAATGATATTATTAACAAATAGCTTGAACAAAGTCTTTTAGGAGTTGAAGACTATCGTGTCGGACTGTTTTTTTTAGAAATCTTGGTAAAAGAAAACTTCATGGATACTAAAATTAGTGTCTGGAATTGTGCTAATTGCTCAACATGATAAAAAATAAACATAAAAACAATGTGTTTTTGGCAAAGATTTTTCCACTATATTATATTAATCTTCAAACTTTATAGAATTTTTTAATATAATGAAAGAAAATAATACTCATTTTGTTAATACATTGAATAATAAACATGATAATAATCCTTCATCAATTGATAAATTAAATGATTCTTTAATACGTATTGAAATAAATGAATTTATTCATCAAGTAAATTATTGGTTAATGATTGTTGAATTCTTTATGGTTTTATTTGGAGTATTAGGAAATGGTTTTGCACTTATTGTTATTAATCGTCGTTCATTACGTAATACATCATCAAGTGTATTTATAACATATTTAGCTATATTTGATTCATCAGTTCTTATTGTTCAATTAACTGGTTTAATAACATTACATTCAATAAAATCATACATTTTACATTGTTTTTTTACGTATTTCACGGACTTCGTTACATTTTCTAGTGTTTGGATTATGGTTATTATGACAATAGAACGTTGTATTGCTGTTCATTCACCATTTTTAGCCAAACGTTATTGTACAATAAAACATGCACGTCATGCAATGTATCTACTTATATTAACTGCATTTGCTTTCTTTACTTTAACATTTCCATTGATATATATAATAAATAGAGAACAAGAAAAATGTAGTGTTCGTAAGCAATATCAAATATTATTACGAATTATAAAACCAACAATATTCTATTTTATACCTGATCTTATATTATTAGTTAATTTATTTATTATTTATGAATTATTTATGGCTAGACGACAACGAACACAAACATTAACTAATTCAGAAAATTCTATCAATCAAATAAATGCAGCTACATTCAATAGACAACAACAACAATTAACTATAATGCTTGTTACAGTTTCATTAAGTTTTTATTTATTTACAACACCAGCTATTGTTGATTATATATTGCAGAGAAAGCCACCAAACTATCGAGATGTTAAACGCCTTAAACTGCGTTTTTTAAGAAGTAATTTAACTGTTATTTGGCTCCAAATGAGTTCAGCAGTAAGTTTATTTATAGAAAAACAAAGAAAAATCATCTCATGACAAAAGATCTCGTCGAATTTAACAAGTTACTTTTAATCGGCGTATCATATATGTGATTTTTTAGAGCCATTTGCGAAGTATCAAATGGTATATAACAAACCTAGTTTTATGAGAATTTTCATATGTTGGTTACAATCCTTGAGGAATGCAAAGACAGATGAGTAATGACATTTTAATAATACTTAATGAGCGCATTAAAAATGTTTATGCAACAATAATCAATATAGCGTTCTTAATAAACTAATATACATAATTCCTTTATGCATGGAAATTTTTTTGTTTTGGTTTTCTGCATCTCTGGAAAGTAATAATACGGCGTTAAGGAAAAATTCATTTTTGAAATAAACATAAGATATTTGTAGATTCTTCTAGATTTCCATGCATAAATCAATGCTAGATATTCTGAATAAAATTTTGAAAAAAAAAATAATAAAAATAAAAAAATCTCCTTCCTGCGTCATCTTCCCTGTAGGAACACGAAGACCAAAAAAATCATTTTTAATGTTTAGAAAGGAGTTATTTATATCAGTTCATCAAGAATGCTGTGCTGATTATAGTTGCATAGAGAGGTTTTTAATAGGACTATTGAGAATTGTTAAAATATCATCTATATACCGACTTCTTCATTCAGAACAATAAGATATTCCAAAGGACAATCTAGAAAATTGATCATGAGTTACAACTGTTCCGAAAGATGTTATATATGAAATACATCGAACTCGATAGTGTACAGTTTTTGAGAAAGTTTCACGTTGATACTCACTTGTTGTGTGGTACACAGTTGACCACAATTGAATATCATATAGTGAAGAAAAAATCTAAACCTAAGAAATGGAACCAGTTTTAAGTATGAAGAAAGTAACGATGAAAACTATTGATTACAAGAAAAAAAATTGAAAAGAATCTATAACTGTATTAAATTAAGCTTAACAACAAAGTTTATCTGCAAACATGTTAGGAAAAACGATGTCTATGAGTATCATATGTATTCCTCAAGGATTACAAACAGTGTATTGGCCCTTAGTACATGAAAATTTTCATCAAACTTTATTTCTTGCATACCATTCGATGCGCTGCAAACTGCTCTGAAAAACTACATATATAATATCCTAGTTCAAAATAGGTCACTGAACCGGAAAAGATCTTTTATTGTTTTTCTATTTAGACTAATTTTTTATTTTATTGTTTGGCTGGTTCAAAATTTCGTACAGCTTGTTTACAAACATTCACTGATATTTATGACTATATACGAGCAAAATTTGATAATAATTATCAACGATCACGAAGTTGTAGTAATTCTCAAACGATGTCAACATTTGGTATGGAAATGCGTAATGAAATTCAATATGATCATCGAGATAAACTTCGATCTAATTCTATACAACAAACTTATCAATTACATAATTCATCAAAACGAACAAGTAATGGTACAATTTCAAGTTCTCATTTCAATAGCAGACGAGCATCAAAATGTGTATAGAATTGTGAAAGAATTTAATATACAAACTTTTTTTTGTAAATAATGTGAAATAAAATGAGAAAGCAAAGATATCTTTCATGTCTACGAAATATCAACATAATTGTAAAAGAAAAAGCGCGACAAATATAAAATTATGCACAAAAGAAAAAGCAAAATGGAATGATCATTATTAGAAGAAAAAAACAAAAACAAATTTTACATAAAAAACAGATAAAGAATATCTCAGATCTATCTGTACACAGAATTTTGATGAAATCTATATTAATGCATTTCTTTGTTCCTAGTCATTTTAAACTACATAATTATTTCCTTGATTCTTTGTATCCGTTGCACGTCGTATAAAAGCTTCTTCACCATCCGATTCATCATTAGCTCGACGTATGAATGCTTCTTCGGGTAATGAACCTTCAGCACGACGTATGAATGCATGTTCATTTTCATTATCAGCTTTACGTATAAATGGTTGTTCACCATCTGTAGGTTTACGTACAAATGGTTGTTCACCATCTGTAGCTTTGCGTACAAATGATGGTTCATCTTTTTCACCATGACGAACAAATGGTTGATTTGGATTACCAACATGACGAATAAATGTTTTTTCATTATTATATTTTTTTGCTTCAGTTATAAAATAGATTTCAAATACAACAAAACCAACTATATGAAAAAAAAGTTTAAAGAAAAAAAAAATCATTTAGGAAAGAAAAATTCAAAAGAATCTTACCAGTTGCAAATGATGCTATCATTGAACCAATCATAAAATGATAAGACCATGATAAAAATGTATAATCAGCTCGAGGCATCCATTTACCAGGAATATCATCGGCATAGATGCCAAATAGAAGAACAGCAAGAAAATTACACAACCCTAAAATAAAAAAAAATAAAAAGTCACAACCTAATTCAAAGTATAATCTGTAATTTTAATACTTTAAAAACCGAATGAGTGACTCAGAATAAACGGTACACATATGATTTGCGCTATAGCTCTATCATTTATTTTTACCTAACGAAGGGAAGTCCTCCTTTTGTGTCCAGCCTATATGACTTATGAGCTATGAATATTTTGAAAAGAATTCGTGGCCTTAACATATTGCCACGAAAATACTGCACTTTTAAGGTATTTTTTGAATAAATGTCATGCTTTCCCTCGGGAATAGCAGAAAAACTCATTTTCGAATTCCAGCTTGAAACTTTGCATAGATATAGGCCTTAACGAGAATAGTTTTATGTCTTTTGATTTGCTTCTATCCTGAAATAAGAACATTAAATATGCTGGTTTATACGAATGATGTACAAGCCAAGCTATTATCATATTTGTATCGTAGAATAGAAACAGCGAGAAGATCGGAACCATTCACAATACACTATTCTTGTTAAGGCTTGTGTCTATGCAAAGCTGCAAATAGAAACTAGAAAATCGAGTTCTTTGGTGTTTCTGAGAAAGCCACAGCATTTAAACAATACTATAAAAGTACAGCTTCTCTACAGCTATAAGCTCAGAGCACAAACTCTTTTCAGGGTATTCATAACTTGTTTGAATCAACATAACGCATATAGTCTTAACTCAAAAACGATTGAACGGTTAGACGACTTTTCTTGTAAAATTAAATTTTATCATTTCAAAAGTCAAAAATTGATAAAAACGTAAAAACCTAGTATCATCTCGAATACTGCTCAAAGAACTCAATATTTCAAGAAAAAACGCTGGCTAACAGGATTGAGTTCGCTAATTGGATACGAAGTAATTTTTGAAAAGAAAAAACATTAAAATTCTTTTTTTCGGATGAAAAAATGCTTGGTTTAAATGTCATGTACCATGCTCAAAGTAACCTTAACTCGACGATCAATCATAATGAAGCTGATAAGAATGGTGCCATTTAACAAAAAAAAGCAAATATTTCCACAAAAAGTATTGATGTCATGAAAATTTATGTTCTTTTATTGACAAAGGTCACTGGTCTTCAAATTCATCTTATATCGATTTTCTAGGACTATTTAATATGAGATGAGTTTGTTTGATAAACGAAATAAGACAAAGTCGAATCAACATTAATTCAAAAACAAAAACATGCTGTACAAAAATTAGAAAAAAAGTTCTCTTAGAAGAAAGTTGCATTAATCGTTTGTTAAAAACTGATGGACACGATTTAGATAAAATAAAATGGATTTTTTGTAGAGGAGTAAATGACGAGTCTTTACATAAAAATGTTACTCGTATAGTATGAAAGCTGAAAAATTTTATTGAGAAAATACTAAGTATGCCATTTATTCTGAGCCACCCGTTATAAGCTTCTTATCGGTTTCAATTAAGAAAAAAATGATTGGTAAAATGCCTACGACTAATCACATCTATATTGGAAAAAAGATTCTATGGTTTATAGTTTATTTTTGTTCTAGACTCAATATGAATATGGCATGACTAACCATTGGGTCACTCACACATGCAAAGGATTTGAACTTGAAAGTCAAGAAAACTAAGTCTATCATTCAAAAGAGAACGATTGATAGTATTTGAAATGAAAACGTTTCTACTCCTGAGTAGTATTGAGTGTTGTGAACATGCGAAATCTTTCTTAGAGTCGACAAGTCAAACATTTGTGTAAAAAATAGTAGTAGACAACCTTGTCAAACAGAGATCGATCAGTAGAAAACAAATTCTTCGATTAGTTATTAATCGGACAGATACGAAATAATCTCTTTAAACATATGGCCTTCGTAGAAATGTTAGATGGTTACGAACCAAGATAATGTAATCAAAGACCAATTCTATTTTTTTATGAAATCTTGTAACAAAAAACAATGTCTCTAGATAGAACTCAACAATCTTCACAGAACATATCTATTCTTATCATAGTTTGATTTAATATTCGCATAAGTTTTCTAAAGATACTGCGTTATGGAATTTTATTAATATCTAAATTTTACGATGTTTTTAGACTATTGAGCGTTTTGCATTGTTTTTATTTACCAGTAATCACATCTTTGGATTTAGTATCGGATTCTGAACAAAATGGAATATTTAGTTGATTAAAACTTCAATTTTTATTTTTCTCGGATCTTCATCTTTTCTAAATCTTTGTAAAAAAAAACAAAACAAGTAGTTCTTCCACATATTATCAAACTTGTATAGAGTATTCTACGCTCACGAAAACTTCCTCAGTCTTTATCGTTTTACAGTAAGAAAAACAAAACAGCTCGTTCACTTACAAGCACATCCACATAAAATACAACCAACAAGCATCGAACGACGTGATAAACGATATCGTGTAATAGCGACAACAATCAATGCAATACAACCGAGTATATTAAATACTAAGCCAAAACATGCAAATATTTGTACAGCAGTAAACCATGCTTAATAGTAATAAAGTTAATCATTGAATTCATTATTACAAATAAAACTAAATATTTAATTTACCTGGTGTTAATACTCCGTCTTCTCGTAATCCCTTATATTCACGTGCATATAACCACCAACAACCATAATAAACTTTTCCCCAATAGTTTTTCGGATTACGAAAACCAGCTATACATACTTGCCAAAGTCCTAATTTACGAAATGTTGTATCACCGACACTAATAAATAAATAAGATTTTCAAAAGAAATATTTTTTTTTTTCGTTAATAAATATACCGAGGCCAAATCTGAATCCAATATGGTGTTGAAAAACCAACTAGATCACAAATTAATGCAAATATAGCAAAAAATAAGGCACTTCCCATCCATAATTTTTCTGAACGTTTTAACATTTTATGATCTAAAACAATGATGTTCTATTTCAAAAATCTGTTTTCATTTTCTTTTTATATTTTATCTTGTAGAAATAAGGAACAAGTCTAAAAAACGATTATCATAAACAACATTAACTTAGAAGAAAAAGACAAACAAAATATAATAAAAAGACATATTAAACATTATATTTATTTGATTTGTCTTGTTTTCTTTTTTATTGCACTTTTCTCATAAATTTGTCTTTAGTTAATAATATTTCATATTTGCTTTTACTTTTAAACCAAAGAAAAAATGGAAAAACAATACATGGACTTGCCATTGCTGTAAAAAGTATCCAATCAATCTAAATATAAAAACAGAGAATTTTTTTAAAATTTATTACAAACAAAAAATTAAATAATTCTTACAATATGTGATGAAAATCGTCGATCATATTCACGACTTGTCATGATATAAACATCACCAATTTCAGATGAATAAGTTTTCTATGAAAATAATCAGAAAATAATATTCTTTTTTTTTTTTTGAATTTTTCTATAGGATAAACAATTAAAAGTGGATTTTTTTTGTATATCAAACAATTATCATAGCTGCAGAAAAGACTGTTCACAAACAAAACTAAACTGTCTATGTGAAAATCAGTCAATTAATGACTTTATTAACTGATTATAAGACTTATTCTTTTTATTAATTTCATAATAAAATCTCACGAGAAAACATATCAACTATCTGACATTGGTCTACTGTTAAAAAGTTATAACCGTCTTAGTGAATTTTTTACTTAAGACAAAGAATTACCAAAAAAGTTTCAAGCTTCAATTTTGTCTAACATAAAATTTGATAGTCCTAGAATTTTCAATGAAAATGAACATGTTTTTCTCGAAATATTCTATTTTCAAGTAGACTCGATTACTAAGTCTTCCTATAATAAACCTGTGTGTTTTTAGATATTAAATATTTCGAAAAAGACGTTTTCTTTTCGCTGAAAATTTCAGGACTATCAAACATATCTATTGACTTAATTTGAGCTCGAAACATTTGATTTTTGAATTTTTTGGAAATAATTTGTCTTCAGTAAAATTTATAATAGTAGTTCATGGATCTGATCTGAATCCTTTTAAGATTGTCTTAGTCTCACTCCGACCTATTCATAGTCATAATGCGAGATTGAATGACGTTTTGACAGTTGGATATGTTCCCTCATCAATATTCATTTTGTTGTCAAAAAAGAGTGCATAAAATTGAGAATTTATGACCAGAATAA